AATAATATAGATCGCTATTACAAAATATAATTATAAACTTACTGATCTAATATTTGCTTCATTGCGTAATATAGACTTACAAGAATCCCATGCTGTTGACCACCGAGTTTTAGTCATTGATTTTAGATTTCCACCAACAGTAGAGGAGAATATAATTTCTTCTCTAAGAGCGGCACCAGCACAGTAAGAATTCTTAAAAAAACTTACAATACTTTGACAATTTGATAGGATCTTTTTTACTAATGGTAATTTACAAATACTGCTAGAGATAAGTTGGATGTGATGCGCAATGCATCTTATAGGTAAAATGTTTGGATATTTTTCTATAACTTGTCGTTTGGCTGCCATCATTGCTGATTCAGCATCGGTGGTTATTGCGATAAATTTTTCTGGACCAACTTTTTCTAATATCTCTATCATTTTTTCAGCATTAAAATTTGCCGTATGGGAAAACTTTGAAAAATCTCGTAAAGAATAAACGTACTGCTTCCTTTCATTTGTCATAATAACAAAAGCATATATACTATGTTTTAATGGGCTACACCAACTATCTATACATAAAGTAAGATTTTTAGCTTTAGATAGTTCCTTTTCTATTTTTAAAATAATATTTGCTGCTTCTGCATCTAAAACCGACAATGCTAATATATTACGCCTAGGTGAATTATATTCAGAGTTTAATATTTTTGTGAAATCTTCGAAGTACGGATTATCAAAGGCTGAAAATGAAATGCCCGAACTCACAACCCATCTAACCAGTGATTGGTTGGCCCTTGCTTCTTTAGCCTTATCGATAGCTTCAATTGTATTATAATAGGTATCCATAGACAATGATGATGGATAGGATTTTCTTTTTTTTAAAGCAGTAGATTTAGACGATCCAGATTCGTCTACACTCTGAAGATCTCTAAGTACTTTAATTCGAATCTCCCTTGGCACTTTCCCTTTACACTTAATTGCAAGGTGAGTTTCCATATCATGAGCTCTTCCTCTAGCTCATGATGTAGAACAATACCTGCAACTTGCCCCTTTATGATTTCCTTTTCCATTGTCAATTATATCATACTCATCCCAAATATCTGTTAGTGGCCGTCCTCCATTATTTGATGTATTACTTGATGCATTATTTGATGCATTATTTGATACATTATGTGAAGATTGTGTCGTTACAACAGAATCAGTTTCACTAGCCATTGAAGGATTATTTTCATTTATAAAACTAGCATCTTCAGCGTGTTCCATTATATATAGATATGAAATAAAAGACAGATACTGGAAAAGCGGATTGTTTTATTTTTTTGGGGGGGGTTATTTAATTAAAAAAAAAGGTTGTGAGTTAAACTAATTTCCAAGATTTTATTTATTTTTTTTATTTTTTTTTTTTAAAAAAAAAAACATGTTTACTGGTGCTATTTTTATTTAAAAAAAAAGCTGAAATAACTATCCAGCGTTAAATAATAATAACGATAACGATATTGTTATTGATATTGTTATTGTTACTGTAAATGGTTGTATTTAAGACCCTTGTCTTTACATTTTGACAATTTTAAAAAAATTTGATTTAGTATATAGCTGAGGCTTACATCAGTAAGAGAAAATTTTTAAGAGCATATTCATTTTGCATTTGAAAAAAAATTTTTTTAAATTAATATAGATTCTCTGGTTCGTGTCCGAGTATAGTACAATCTACAAGAAGAGTTTGGACCCGAATTTATTTAATTAGTCTTTGGCTTCAAATTTAATTCGTATTTATTCCAATAATTCCAATAATTACTTTTATAAATGTATGTACGTATATACAAAAATATTTGATATACTCTTGTTTTCTATATCTGTACTACAGATCCTGTAAATATTGCGAATTCGGGGTTATATCCGGATTTAGATTGATTCTGAAGGAAATTGGATTTAGTTCCATGGTTGAACTTAGTTCCAAACTCTACTTTGGAGGTTTGTATACGACTACTTTATGGTACGGTGTGGGAAATTTAAATCATCTAACACATTGAAAATAAGCTAAATTCAATAGCGAGCTTCAGCAGTATGCATAGATTGTTTCTATATGGGGAGATTAAAGTTTTTCCGTATATACTCTATTTAGCTCTCAAAATGGAAATACTGCTGTTTTCGATAGATGAATTTCGTGAATCATATGATTACAACAATGACAATATGCAGGATTCATGGAATTCACGAAATTCATCTATTACACTAATTCGAAAACAGTGATAAAACAATCAAGTGATACTGTTGCAGTTTTCTTTTTTGAAATTTGATTCCTATTGCTACATGATTATATTATCATTATTGTTACCGTAAAAGCTCATATAAGGGAGGGTCTGGCATTATGGTGCGGATGTATGTTTTTTGATGATATATTGCGATACACAGATCAGAATCGAAAAATTTTAGTACCATTCGATTCGTCTTACTAGACGAATCAAATAATATAAATTTTTTTGATTCTAGTCGCTAAACCACAAGATATAAGTAAAAGTCGATATTACTTTTGCTTTAATATAAGTGACGAAAGGAAAAACCTGTAAATCATTTCACTCATTATCATTGCAGTGATATGTACCCCTAATTTTTATAGGGTTAGATATCACTGCAATGATAATAAGTGAAATAGTTTACAGGTTTTCCCTTTTTGTCACTCATATATACTGTATTTCTTAATTTGTGTAATGTCCGAGGGAAGGATGCAGCAATACGTACAATACGAAACACATAGTGCGCCATAATTCCCAAATGTAAAAAAATAGCATTTTTTGAGTAGATTTTGAAAGTTCATATGTACAGTACGTACGTATTTCAATCTTTTTTTTTAATGTCGATTTTTCTTTTTTTATTGGCAGATGATAATTCTATAAGTAATCTATTTCAGAATAAATATATTTTTTCTGGAGACTTTCATATGCAACTCTCAAGTGCGCCATAATACCTGACTCTCCCTTACAAGACCGGGTCTGTTTCATTTCACTAATTTTTAAACCCTTTAGTAGGTCCGGGTCTAGTATTCACCCAGAGATTACATCATGAAAAAAAAAAATTTTGAAATTTATATATTTATAACTATTTGAAAACACCCGCATTTAAGTAATAAAGATTCTGTGGGCTAAAACGACATATATTAAATTCCAGTCATCCAAAGTATCGTTTTTGATTCATAATTGTTGCGATTAAAGAATAATAATAAATAAAAGAAAATTCAACAGGAGGGAACGTTGTTGTTACACAACTGACTTTACACACGGTGTGAAGCACATAAAAAAATTATTTTACAATACTTGATCAGAATTGATCAGTCAGCTAGCACATGTTATGATTATAATCCAACACCATTTTTTATTATAAAAAAATGGTGTTGGATTATAATCATAACATATACTAGCTGACTGATCAAGTCCGATCAAGAAATAATTTTTTTATGTGCTTCACACCGTGTGTAAAATCAGTCGTGTAACTACAATGGTCCCTCCTGTTAGAAAATTCTATTAGCTATATATTTGGTACTAATGCTTTAGTATATGATATTAATTTTAATTTAGATAGATCTAAAATGACATTTTGGATGACTGGAATTCACTATGTGTTGTTTTATCCCTGGTTTGGGGATCTTGTTCATAGTGAGACATTCGTCTGATTAGCTGATGTAAATCAATTGTCCGGGTAAGTTATTTATACACTTTAAAGTAATTTTTAGGAACGTAACGTTTTACTAATAAAAAATCACAGCAAAAGCCATTTTTCACTTATTATACAAAAATAATCAGAAATAATTAGTAACTCCGAGAACTTTACTTAGAAGACAAAGTATACTACCGTTTATTGGACCATATTGTAGAGTGAAAGTAACTGGAAACGTTTTCGTCTAAGCTATTTTATTATGTTAGATTTAGATAAACTTTTACTTTTAACTGATAGGTACAAGCTTTTAGTAATAGAAGATCCAGGCTTAATATTTAAATTTGGTCGTATATTAATAGTTGTAGTTTATGTCTTGTACGTAGATCTTGTACGTAGACTCTTTAATGAGTTTGGGTTTATTAGTAATAAATATCACTTTATGCGTATCTATCTATTCTCTAAATACAAGTAATCCATGTTTTATGTGTATTTATTAGTTTGTGAGTTCTGTTTTCTAGTACTGTAGTATTAATAAAATTATGTATTTTGATTGGTTAATTATCACGGGCAATCACGAGTAGATCCACCAAAATTAACCAATCATATAAATGTCTCTCTATGATAGTATTAAATTTGTAAAAATAGATTTGCAAATTTGATAGTTACACTAATTTACTAATTTGGACAATTAGTTTGGGATTTGGGATGGGATTTGAGATTTAGGATGAGATTGGGATGAATTTGGGTTTTGGAATTTGGAATTTGGGATGGAATTGGAATTTGGGATAGGATTTGGAATTTGGGATAGGATTGGGATTTGGAATGGGATTTGGGATTTGGGATGAAATTGAAATTTGGGATGAGATTTGGGATTTGGGTTTGGAATTTGGAATTTGGGATGAGATTTGGGATTTAGGATTTGGGATTTGTGATTGGGATTTGTCCAGTTTTGCCATATGGGATTTTTAAATATAGATAGACAATCCCATTTGTCCAGGTTTATCCATGGCCAAATCTCATATCCTATAGGTTTTGCCAACATGTATAGTTCTAACACGCCTCGCTTCACAGCCACAACTTCTCGGAATAACTATTCCCCAAATACGTCCATCTGTAGATGTTCCGAGTTCCCTGTACCCCACGGTGTTTCACTTCTATATTTGGGTTTTTATTATTTCGCTGCTGGGAGGAATTGAACTAGCAACCGTCCGGTTTGCAACCTGGGAGCATAACCGCTATGCTATCAACCCACAGGTTAATTTAGATAAGTATAATTATTATACTTGACAAATATTTTACTATTTAATTTTTTAATTTGGTTTCTTACAATAAATTGTTCTACATTTTAAGATTTCAACAATAATTTTATTTAACTCTGATTTATTCTACTCGACTTAATCCTATTATTTCAAGTATGCTAAATATTTTAATTTAATTATTTAAGCTAACTCTACTCAAATCCATTACTTAATTTGGTTTTTTTTTTACTTTAGATATTATATAATTTGCTCTAATTCAGATAAGTATAATTATTATACTTGATGAATGTTTTACTATTTAATTTTTTAATTTGGTTTTTTACAATAGATTATTCTATATTTTAAGATTTCAATGATAATTCTATTTAACTCTGATTTATTCTACTCAACTTAATTTTATTATTTCAAGTATGCTAAATATTTTGATCTAATTGTTTAGACTAACTCTACTCAAATCTATTGCTTAATTTTTTTTTTTTTACTTTAGATATTACATGATTCACTCTAATTTAGATAAGTATGATTATCATACTTGATGAATATTTTACTATTTAATTTTTTAATTTGGTTCCTTACAATAGATCATTCTACATTTTAAGATTTTAACAATAATTTTATTTAACTCTGATCTATTCTACTTGACTTGATTTTATTATTTCAAGTATACTGAATATTTTGATCTAATTGTTTAGACTAACTCTACTCAAATCCATTGCTTAATTCTTTTTTTTTTACTATAGATATTATGTGATTTGCTCTAATTTAGATAAGTATGATTTAAATGTTTTACTATTTGATCCTTTAATTTAGTTCTTTACAATAGATCATTCTACGTTTTTAATAATAATTCTATTTACTCTGATTTATTCTACTCAACATGATCTTATTATTTCAAGTATGCTAAATATTTTAATCTAATCATTTAGACTGACTCCATTTAAATCTATTGCTTAATTCTTTTTTTTTTACTTTAGATATTATATAATTCGCTCTAATTCAGATAAGTATGTTTATTATACTTGACAAATGTTTTACTATTTAATTTTTTAATTTAATTCTTTACAATAGATTGTTCTACATTTTAAGATTTCAATGATAATTTTATTTAACTTTGATTTATTCTACTCAATTTAATTCTATTATTTCAAGTATACTGAATATTTTAATCTAATCGTTTAGACTAACTCTACTCAAATCTATTGCTTAATTTTTTTTTTTTTTTTACTTTAGATATTATATGATTTGCTCTAATTTAGATAAGTATAATTATCATACTTGATGAATATTTTACTATTTGATTTTTTATTAATTTAGTTTCTTATAATAGATCATTTTACATTTTCAATAATAATT